CTTTCTCTCTCTCTCTCCACACACACACACACACACACACACACAAAATCAATCAATCAATCAATCAATCAAACCCTTTTTTCGTTATGTTTTTTGAAATTTTGCATTTTTTTTTTTTTTGAACACCTCATTTCCCTGCAAAAAACAAAAATCCAATTCTAAAAAAAATACAGGTGTAGTTAGGGACCATATATCTCATGATAAAAAATGACAAAAAAAAATTGGTGCTTTTCTTTATTTTTATTTTTTTAATTTTGTTTAAATCGATTTTAGTTTTTGATTTTTTTTTAAATCTTAAACAAAGTCGGATTCCAAAACAAAAAATATAGGAGTGTAGGGTTTTTCGAGCCCTACACCCCCATATTTTTTTATTTGTTTTTTACGTATTTTTAGGTGGGGGGGGGGGGAATATTGAAAAACCAGGCCGCGGACTGGGCCTCATCGGCCGCGGGTGTCACATAGCCCTGGACGAGGGGCAAAAGCTTGATAGCTCTGGAAGGGCCACGTCTGTTTGTGCGCCCTAAGGTGTTCTGCGGTATTCATTAGGTGGGTTTCTTGTACGCAGATGACGTCTGGCCAGGATCTGCCCCCGACCCCTCTCATCAAATCCAAAAGAGCTCTGATTTTGTCCGGGCTGCGGGATGCCAGGCCATTTACGTTGATTGATCTCATATCCAGATCAGTTTGCTGCAACATTCGGGTCCATCTTTTGTTCTTCCCATAAACTGCATCGACCCACTCCATTGTGTTAAATCACTTGCTCCAAACACTCTCAGTCTATTTGTTTCGTAGCAGCGTTCAGTCCTGCGAGTCCCAGTCGACCCCCTTGTTCAAGACGTTCGTTGTTAGTAGTGTGCATATGCAAGTAAGCAGGTCATCTGTTGACCAGATGTTGCTTGGTTTAAATTTAAGTTGTTGTGTGTCCAGGAGCATGTTGTGTGTGTGCCACAGCAGACCCGCCTCTCTGTTCTCTTCAAACCTTACGTAGATGTCTTTGCAGGTCATTTTTAACCCTTTTGTTGATACGCTTATGAAGGCCATTGCCCCTGGTTCATAATTGGCAACGATAAAGTTCGTGACATCGTGTGTTTTGAGGGTCCCTCCCTTTTGAATGTGCCATCCAAGAAGTGTCATTCCACCGTATGCGGGAGTGTATGGGTCCTCGGAGTCAGCTGCTGACATTCCCAGTTCCCATTTCCCGGTCCTTCTTCTCATTGGCAACACTAGCACCTTGGCCCCCCTTGGTATGCCCTTGCGGTACAAGCCTTTTTCGATCAAGTGATGTATCTTGAGACGTTTGGATACGCTTGCCTCGGCGGTCTCTACCGTTGCCTCCTCTTTCTGTTCTAAGTGGGTGACAAGCCTGTCTTGCTAAGTATCTACAGGGGTTGACTGGTCAGCGGGCTGGGGGGGCGTAGGTCTGCCTCTCTCTGTGCTTCCGCAATGGGAGGTTGAAATTTTTTATGCACAATGATCCAGATTCTGCCCAAAACGTGTTGCCAGTCGGTCTCCGGGGCGAGGCCCTGCTCCAGCGCCTGTTTTAGGCCGACGCTTTCATCGAGGAGGGCGAAGAGTTGGACATAGGCCTCATCCCAGTATGTCTCTATCTGGCCCGTGTAAAGGGTCTGGATCCATCCTAATAGCCAGTCTGCCAGATTCCTTAGCCTAGTCTAGGTGTCTTCTCCCCCTTGTGATCCCCATGCCTCGGGGGTGCTGTCTCTCATCTCCACATCCTGGGGGGGGCGGGCGATTCCCAATCCATGGGCTGTGGGCCGAAGGCTTGGAAGAAGGGGTCCGGTCTTAAGGTGACCTCTTTCCTGGTGGGATCCTCTTGGGGGGCCCCTTGAGGGGGCGTCATTTAGGGTCTAGGGTGCTGCGCAGTTACCTGTCCCCCAGGAGCCAATTTTCCTACAGAAAGCAGATATTACAAAAGCAATTAGTAAATTTTGTGTTGACTGGCTGGGAGGGGAAAAGGGAGGCAGGTTAGCACACATCTGTTGCCACGGGGAAAGCGCGAATGAAAAGGAAAGCAACAAATTCACCAAAAACAACAAACTTCAGTTTCACGAATGGCTGCAAGTCAACCCGGAGATCCCAATGAGGAGTCCAGGGGACTTTCCTGATATGTTCCCCCCTGCAGACACAGCAATAGTAGATACGAGATGGTTCGGGCGGGAATAAGGAGCTAAGAGATCAACGGTCATCATCAGCTTTGGCATCTCGCCTGCAGCAGCACCATCATCTACATCACCTACCAAGTGCACCCAGCCGCTGGGCCCGGCTCCCGGCAAGCGCTATCTCATTAACTTACACCTTACAAAAAGGGGGACGAGGTGTCCTTCTTCGCCATACTGTTGAATTCAGAGTAATCACTAGTGGGGGGAGGGAGGAACTAGTATGCAACAGCAGGTACCAGGCGCCGGCTTCATGGTGAAGAGGATCCCCCCTCCCTGCATTATCCTGCGCTGTCAATCCCCTGGACTCCAGGGTAATCAATGCTGGCAGGAACCCCCACATTCCCTGTTTTGATATGCTTATGGGATGCTGGGTCCGTTTTCCCGCAGGTGTTGCTCCCCACCACTAGATGGAGCCGCTCCCCAGGTGGTTGCGGTGTCTGCTCTTACCAACACCACTAACACCTTATGGCTGTGTATCTTTTCAACGGAGAACGGGCGAAGTTCAACGCCCGAACATCTCCTGCAGTACGTCCTCCGGTGGAGGTAGACCCAGACTACACGGGTGACGCAGGACCTCATGGAACCGAAGGGATTGCCTGCCATGCTGGATGCTTGAGCCTTTGGTCGAAGATCCGTCGGTCCAATCGAGTAACATCACGCACAACATCTCTCGCCAACTCATCTGCATCCAGAAGACGACGGACGTCCTGCGGAGCAAAGTGACTAGGAGGATGTGGAGGCACCACCACCGGCTCAGACCCCATATCCGTGATAACGGGCGGTGGCACACCATGCACTTCCACCTGAACCGGTTGCGACTGTCGGCCCTGAGCCAAGTGCAGGCCCGAGAAAGGAACGACTGGACCCGTCGCTGTCTCCTGAACCACGGGCCGTGCGTCTATAGCCCCCTCATCTCGCCACTGTCCTGCCTGCACAGCCTCATCCGCCGCTTGTGGCCGACGATCCACAGGAACATCCACTGCCTCTGGCCCACCCTATATAGCCTCATTGTCCGCCTCTACTGCAACTCCCTCCATAACGTCCTCCCCAGCCACCACCCCACCCTGCACACCATCCCCCCCAGTCTCTCGACGCCTGCCCTCCTCCAAGGCCCGTGCGAACGCTTGAGCACGCGGGTTACTCGATGCCATAAGTCGAGCCCTCTCTCGCTCCATGATGTTTCGTGTTGTATCGGGAGACTCTGTCTGCGTCCTCTCCATTGGGGTCTGTGTCTCCGTCGCGTCTGCTGCGTCGTCCCGTGACGGCGCCCGATCCGTCGATGTCGCCCCGCGGCAAGTAGGTGGAGGGCCCATCGACAAGACGAAGTCGAAGTGCGTCCCCATCTCTGACCCGGCCCCCCCTGTGCGAGCAGAAATCCCCGGCTCCATCGCCGCCCCCGGGGTCAAACCCCCGACGACTGGATCGACCTCCTACGTGATGAAGCGCCGCACGAGCTGCTCATCAGTGTTTGCACTGTCATGATCCATAAGAACGGCCTCCTGCGGCCTCGTTGCCGCTACCTCCTCCTCAGCCGTCGCCCGTGCTGGCACCTCGTCCCTCGCTGTCGAGACTGTTGGTGCCTCCTGCGTTGCTGCTGCCACATCCCCCTCCTCCTGTAATACCCCCGGGGAAGGTGATCGTAATCTCAGTTGTCAAACCACCGTCGATCTCTACAGAACCCCGTGTGGAAGCAAGGAGGATGCCAACTCCTCCATCTCCGCCTGTGTAGTGGCCGGCTGAAGAGGCGAGACGGGGATGGGCGGTGCATGACTCGGCGCAGGAGGTGGCTGAACGACCGACTCTCGCCCGACAGGAGTAGGAGTCGGTCTCCCCGCCTCTGCACAACTCGTGTCGGCATGAGAGGCCCCGCCTCTGTCAGCACGCGCATCACCCGTGGAAGCCACCTCCTCGAAAGGGCCCCATAAATCCTCGTCCCCCCCCTGCATCTCCTCCTCTGCCTGGTCCGCTGCCCGCTGAGCCATGTACGTCCTCACCTCGGCATCATTGGCCACCTCATGCGTCTCGTCGATCTCGCTCGGGATGGGCAGGGTAGGGTCATCTACTCCCTCGGGTGTGGGCTCCTCATCCGAGTCACCGTCCCTTGGGTACGCACGGAAAATGCAAGCACGTCTCTCAAAAACGGCATCACCGGATGGCGGTGCGGAAGACCTGATGGGATCGCGCGTAATAAGCGCAACCTGCTCTGCAATCTCCGCCGCCGTCATCCCCTGGCGCGTGCCCGTGCGGACCGGCTCAACCTCCAGTCCTGCCTGGCGGTCCAACATCCCCTCGTTACGTTGCCATGGCAGCACGTAACCGCATCTTGCCCGCCGATACTCTATCAACCGCACATTTGCGGTGATCTCAATGAGCTGCACGACCTTCTCAAAGGCCAACCTGTTACGCTTCTTCGTGTGGATGCCTTTGTGGACTGCCCAGTTCCTATCCGTTGGAGAGGCGCAAGACCACATGTGCATCACACGAAGAGCGCACCTCTGCAACTCAGGGGCGCGAGCCCCGTACTGGGACCACCAAGACGCGCACTCGATCGTCTCGGTGTCACCGCTACACGCGCGCCCACGAGCACGCTCCTCCACCCCGCCCCAATCACCAAACCTGCCCTGCTGCACGTGGAAGTCCTCGAACTGCCGGCAGGCCTGGAGGTACTCCGCACCCTCCAAATCGAAACCCGTCTGCGTCAGAATGTACCTCTTGGCTTGTCTCACAAGCCATGCATGATACTCCTGCACCTCGCCGAAAAAATATCGAACATGTCGTCTGCGGGGGTTCAGTAAGAACCCAGCTCAGTGGGCCGACTCTAGCATGTGCTGTGAGCGTGCCTGCACACGTCTGATGATCCGGTCTGCGATCGAGGACCCCAAAGGAGCGCATGCCTCCTTCACCCGCTGCACAAGATCCTGTGCCCACTCGAGCACGAGCGACATGCGATCCATCCGTCGGAGCAACTACATCACGGGCTCCATGATATGGATGATGGTGGCCACCCTCTGCCACCAAGGATCCCATTTGATCTGTCGGCGCACCCAACACGCCATGTAACAAACATCGGCAGACCACGGGATGGAGGCAAAAACCCGCGCATCATCCCCTCGCATCATGTCCTGCAAAGTGTCCTGCAGGGCCATGAGCCTCTCCAACATGGAGTACACAGACGCAAACCGCGTCTCGCATGAAAGAACAAGACCGAGGTTGGGGCTGCGCTTCCTAGAAAAATGAAGGGCCGCCTGGTGGGTTTTGAAAAACACCACCAGCACACGAGCGCGTGTGATAGTATCAACAAACGCGTCGCAACACGTCCCCATGTCTGACAACAATTTGTTGCAGACATGGACCGAGCATGGGAGCCAAGTGATCCTCCTCAATGTTGCAGGCATGGTCTCCGAGGTCAGACCCCTGGCAGCCCCAACGTACGCTGACGCGGAGTCAGTGCATATCCCATTGACCCGCTGCCGCCCGCCGAACCTGAACTCGTAGAAAATGGTTACCCATCTCCGAAGGACGTGCAAAACATCGTCCGGCTCCCCCTCTCGATTGATCGTCGTGTACATGATTACCCCTCGAGACCCTGCGGCGAGGAAATTAACGATCGGTCTCCCGTCTCGTGATTTCCTCCCGTCTGAGAGGATGGTCGCGCCAGTCACTCAAAATGGTTGCCTCACCTCCTTCAACTCCTCGACCAACTTGGCACGGTGCATCTCCACTGCCTGCATGCTCGCAATCTCGCTGTGGCTAGGGAGCACAGCGCGCGGCGAACTGCTAGGCTGTTGAAGAAGCACCTGCTGATATGCCCTCCATGCCTCATTGCGAAAGGCATTGAAGGAAACCCCGCTGGAATAAGGCCAGCAAAGGAAGGCCTTTTTGTGGCGAGCAACCCACTCGCCACCGTACACCTCATCCACCTTCTGTTGTCTAAGCCTCTTTCCATCTTGAGTGGTAGCCGGAACAGCTCCCCCTTCCTTCCTCTTGGAAGAACCCTCCCCCGTCGGTTCCTGCAGAGGAGGCTGTTGCCCCTTGCCCCCTCGCCGCTGCCAGTCCACGATCCTCTCCCCCATCAATGGATCGAACTCGGGCTGATCCTCGTGTCCCGGGAATCCCTCCCGGGTCGTGCCACGTGCCTCGCGATCGTCGATGATCACGTCCCCCTCGATGCCACCGCCTCTACCCCCCAATGACTGGTCGGGCTCACCATGCCCAATCTCTCCCCCCCCCACCACCTCCCACGGCCGCTGCACCGCCTCTCCTCCCGTCACTGCACCGGCCCTGGGCACATCAAGTCCACGCTCCGCTGCAAACCTGGAAATCCTCTCCATCTCGTCGGCCTCGAACTTTAGTTGAGTCCGTTTTCCGATCTCGTACAAGGCCTCATCAGTGACGGCCTTGCACTAATTGGTCTGCACGAAGTGCCTGGTTGCATGGAATAAAGTCCCCTGGAATGCTTTGTTGCATAATGTGTGCAGCGCAGCATCATCACCCCCTTGTTGTCGACCTTCTGGCCGACGACAAGGTACCGACACATAGGGGACCTTACCCTGAACGTGTCCTGCACATCTGGAGAAGCGGGATCATGCTCGCGCCGCTGTGCCCTCCCCATCGCGAGTGTCCCATTCGCCGCTCTGAACCTCCGACCTGAAGACCTGTCGACCTTCCGAAATGAACCCTGGAAACCCTCCGAACACAACCTTCCCCCTCGCTGGCCCCTACACCTGTCGTGCCTGCCCCTAAGCCCCCCCCTGCTCCAACCGCAACACCCCCGAACACCCGTCCGACCCCGCCGCCCGACGCGAACAGGTCCCCGAACGGCTGCATTAAATCTCGTTAAATCGCGTTAAACGCAATTGAACGCGTTTAACGCCGTTGAACTAAAAATTCAACGGCGTGAATTCGCTCCGTGCGCCGAGTTGCGGAACAGCCGTCATCGTCCCCGCCGCTGCAAACGTCGCTCCCGCCACACTGCGATCTTCGTCTCCGCTCCATGAGCCACTCCCGCTGCTCCTCTCTCTCTCTCTCTCTCGCGTGCGCGCGCGCCGTAGTTATGTCTTCAACGCAGGTACGTGGTAAGCCAATCTTGTATCGCTCTCTCTCTCTCTCTCTCTCTCTCTCTCTCTCTCTCTCTCTCTCTCTCT